TTCCGAGCGACGGCTTTCACCCTGCCAAATGATACGGTAATCTAATGGTTCACGGCCTGTACTATAACGAAATTCTTTGCACATACTCCTTTGATAACCGTTTCGACCTTTATTTGTCTCCCTTCTCTGATTACTTGTTCTAGACGTTTTCTCATGAATTACTGTTCTTCCATCCGAAGTGATTCTTTTGCTCCTAGGTCTTCTTTCCCTAAGGGTTGTTTCCTGTTTGCCGATGTAAGGTGAACCAAATGAGTACGGTACTTGTATACCTGACCTTGCTCTTGTCTTCTCCGACTCTTGTTCTCTCCTCTGTAGCTGAGTGGACTCCAAAGTGCTGTACGAGGTTTGACTACAATACTCAGATTAACGATCACAGACGCAGTACGTCGTAGCCTTTCGTTCAATTTACGGCAAGCAGTGGGAAATCGATTGTTTTGATGTAAATATGCCATGTTTAAACAACTGCTAAATTTCTTTGGGCTCTTTTAATAATTTTTTTATTGCAGTTAAATAGTTGAAATGTCATGATTAACATTATCTCTGCTTCATTTCGAAGCAGTTCATTCTGTACGATATATGACATTGAAATTTCATAAGGAAATAATCTTTAACTGTTTCGTGAATAAGTATAGAAAAAATTATAAGGACACCTTAAATATCAGGTGCTACAATATACTATGCTATTTAACGCGGCTAATATCAGGTGTATATTGTACAATCTGTAAATAACGTATTCTCTCAAGAGAGTGTTTTGTTCCTGCAATGGTCATCATACTGAAAACTGAAAAATGTATAAAATCGGTTAATTTATACATCACGCAAACAGACTGGTCGATTCGGTGATTACCAGTACAGATGTTTCGGTTTCTCTTTCACGGAACTTCTTCAGGATGGTCCGGCTTGGTTTCTGCCGTTGGTTACGTGGTCCGCAGCTGTCGTGACGTTTTGAGCCAATGGTGTGCTTTAAACTGATACTGCTGGACCACACAACCAATCGTCCTGAAGAAGGCCCTTACGAGAGGAGAAGAAACAGCGGTACCGATGAATCATCCGAATGACCAAATTGTTTGCGTTGTGTATATAAGCACTTTTATACATTTTTCAATGTTAATGTCGGTATTATGGGTTTGCTATCAAACTGCTAGTTTTCGATAACGTCGGTGAAAACAACAATCTTCAATCATTTCTAAAAATTTACATTTTGTGTGAATACCAATAAATTTACACAACACCATAATAACTTATTGTACAAAATATTCTAGGGTCTTCTGTAGCTCAAACTGCGAGAGCAATCATCGCCCATCGTCCAGATCAGAGACAAAACAGAGAAACGATTTTAGTAACTTTTCTTCAGAGATCAGCGAGACGAAAACCCCTTGACACTATACACTTAGTCCTAAAGCTCTAATTTCCAGCATGTGGTCAAAGTGTTCCCCACTTCGATTGATTGACAGTGGAAGTGTAAGGAATTCTATTACCCTACCCTCTTAATCAACCTCTTTTGAGTTTGGAAGGGATTTCAAGGTTGCCCTTGGTCAATGAGAAGCACATATTACTCTTACGAACAGCAACATCGAATGTGGTTCTTTACTTTGTTGCTCATCATTCGCGAAAGACCGCGTTTCCGCAGTCTACCACGATAAGCGGAAAAATTCCGAAGGAAAGGGTGCGGGGAAACATACTACGCTTGCCGCATGTCATGTTAACGTTGTCTGGAAAATCATGCCCTCTTTACAGAAGGCAGAACATGGAAATCATAAGCTTCGTGAAAAGAAGCGCACCATAAAAGGCTCCATGATGGTAGCGTAAGAAACGCCGGTATTCCACCATTACAATTTTCCGTCTTTTCTCTTCCATCTGCGGAATGGGCAATGAGCTTGGTTCACTAGAAAGGTTATCCTAAACCACTATCACTTAAATTCTTTTTCTGTTTATTTATTTTTTAATGAACATAAATAATGTGCTGAACAGTAAATGATGAGCACTGTCAGTACGATACGCATCTTGACAGATTTTCCAATAGGTACAATATCGCAAAATCACTGGAAGAAAACCTTTACGGCCTTTTGTTTGGAGTGAACACTTTTGCAGCCCTGCTCTTGCAAACTGTATTAACAGTCGTCGTAGTGTCACAGGTTGGCTTCAACTTGGGCATAGAACCTCAGGTACAGTCTCTGTTCTTACTTTATAAATATCAGAGAATAGTAAACTTTAAATTTTAGTTTGTGGTATATTCCGCATACCATGGAGCAATGTCCCTTCTGTTTTTGGTAGTCGCTGTTTGGTCATTTGTCAGAAGAAGCCACAGAGTTGGAACAACGAAAATGGACAGTCAGGAAAGTCCTTCGTCCGTCGGTCGTAAAATGAGTAAACATGTATCCATTTCACGATTCTGATATGCGGCAGAAGGCAAAAGCTGCTATAGGAAGAAATTCGATGGTATCTTTGCTAACTGTTGTTGAAAATTATAATCTGAATCACTGAATCCTATTTGTTACATTTTGATCGGTCATTGGTAACCTAAGTACGATAAGATGTACCTATTTTCATGCGGCTTAACAAGACAACCGGCAGTGGCATATCCTCATAATTTCTTCAACGAAGCTGGTCTTCGTTCAATTGTCGATAAAGTCAGTTCAAGAGCTTTGGATCTGATTTCACTACTGATCTTTCAGTAGTGGATCATACTGAAAAACATACAATTGGAGCAAGGATATGCCGATAGCAGGATTTAGTGTAACGTAGTGAGACGTGACTAACGATAGACACGAAAGTGCTGGACTTCAGCATTTATCATTGATGTTGTTGAATCATCAACATCAGACCGTAACACAACGTAAACAACAGCACCTTGAGTTATGATGTTAGACCTTTAGAAATGGTACCTCAGGTTTGTTGAGGGAAGCGTTTTCTGTTACAGTAAAAGCCATATTCTTCGTCACCATCAGATCTCCATCTACTCATTTAGGTTACTGTCTTTGTAACTAGAAGTTTGTGGTTTTTGAATCAGATCAAACCTATCCTTTCTAGGCGCAATGGCAACATGCATCGATATATGTTTTATCGTTCAAAAGAATTAATTTCAAAAGTACAAGTTAAAGAATCGGCACTGAGATATAGCCATTGTCTACTGGAGGAACAAAGATGATAGAATTGAACCCGATCAGCACTCAAAAATGATGGGGCTTCATTTAATTGATCAGCTTTCTGCCTTATTTTGCCATTTGTTTATTTGTCAATACCTGAATGAGTACCGCCAACTCTCCAATCTTTAGAAATACCTCTTTTGAGCTGTCTGAAGGTGTCAGCATTTTGATAACTGCAGCGAGGCATCAAATCCCAGTGCTTGTTCTCAATAACGAATATCTCATTTGCCTTTTAGGATTTTCGTCTCAACACACGCATTGAAGCCAGAGTTTGAAATAACGTACGGCCGTACATGAAACACGTTTATATTTACCAGGATAACATAAAGATTCATGAGAGAAACCCGGAAACATCTGGATGAATTACATGCAAGACTGCGAAATATACATATTTTTAGTTATTCGTGTATGGACATATTTTACACGAATTCAAGCAATTTTCATGACAAAACTGCGTGCTCCTAGACGCCAAGGGTAGGCCATGACTCTATAATACTTGAGTACTGCGGTACATCATGTTGTTTATGTTGTAAGAAGAAGTTACTTGCTCGCTACAGATCAAGATTCAAAAGTTTATGCACATTGAATGCGGTCGTATTGCAAAAAGCTATATTTTTATTATTGTATATTACCTATTCTGTTGAAGGTCACAATTTCAATGATTGGAACACGTGGTGGTGATCCCTTCACAGACATTCGCAAGAGCAGGATTGCCTGTAGCAAAGCCGAGGAGAAGATGACCTATCGGTCACGGGCAAATTTATATTGAAGTCCCAGCATCATAACGCGCGTTGACCTCAAACGATTGAATTTGTCCGAGTAATGATGTACGGCGATGATTTACTGTCTGAAAATTGGCTGAAGCAGCTGCCCACGCTGTCCAAAAAACGTCAGCTTTGAAACTGAATGAATGAATGAATCAATCAATCAATGAATCAGTGAATGAATGAATCACTGAGGATTAAACAGGTGAATGAGAGAACGAATGAACAAACGAACAAACAAATAAATCAATGAATGAGATGAATAAGCGAATGAATGGATCCATGAACGAAGAAACTGGTGAATAGACAAACGAATGAACAGAACAGAGAACAAATATGTTAATAAGGAATGCATTATGCATACTGTTCAGCAATTCAGTCTTAAAATCGGTCAAAATGCCCTGTGTGTCTCAAACGTAAGTCTCTTTGAGGCAGACCAGTTTGCAAAGAGGAATATCACTTTCATTGTAGCAGTGATCGCTACTTGATATCAATCTGAGGCATTGTTTCAAACGGTCAAATATCATTAATCTGGGTTGCCCCATTGCTTAAGCTCTGTTAGCCTTAGATGACAAAGCAACACCAACACATACTGTGACAACTTGCGACATATACCCGGCCAAGCAGAAGAGACGGCATTCACCAACCAATCTGGGCGGTGTGGTGAGGTATGGCGAAAGCATTCAAGATGAAATCACAACTGCCGTGGCCTCATTTTCTCAAGGATTGATTGTCGCCGGCGAAGACAGCAGTTGGTCAGGCACGGAGGCAGAAGG